TTTAGTTCCATCTTGAGCTGTTTTTATTCAGTGGATTAAAAAGCCTTTGTGGTGATGATTAGGAATACTACACTACGTTCAGGCAGTAGTAGGGTGTGCAGGTAAACTACTCAGACTGTCATTTAAATCATAGGCATTCATGTTTTGATGCATAATTACCTCCCTTTAAGTGCTTTATTAACTGGATGGCCACTGTTCATAGCTCTTTTTTAAATTATTACATTTTTCTAATATGGAGAATGTTAAGCATTGAAACAAAATAGATACTGAGCCTTAAAGTGGTTTTTTAAAAGCCAGGGTTTCTTTATTAGCCCTGGCTAGCCTCAAACTCACTATGTAGACCAGGCTGGCCTTGAACTCACAGATATCCTCCTGCCTGCTAGGATTAAAGGTTTTGTACCACCAAACCTGGCTTCAAAGAGCTTTAAGTAGTCATCAACCTTAGCTCATTTTGTTCAACTATTCTTCAGTAGTCACAATATCCAAAGCCCCCAAACTAGAACCAAATTCATAACCTTGAGGAAATCTTTAAAAATAGTTGTACTGGTCCTTGTACAGGATACCGCTGCTTTTGAAAGACATGCTGCGGAGTTCTACAGCACCACCTGGTGGCTAGGCAAGGTTGGACTCTGACATTTCGATCAACAGAGACCAAAAGCACATCAAGACCCAAGTTCATATTCTGACTTCAGATTTACTATACTGTGTAACCTATTCTTGTTTAACCTTGATTCACATCTGAAAAGTGGGAGCGATTACAGACCTGCATGCCACCTCGTGGTTTTGAGAGGCTGAAGCAAGATAATAACAAGTGATGAACTGAGCGAAGTCCCAGGCACTTACTAAGTGATTAGACCTCATTCACTTTGTGGTTTTTGGTATTGTTTCCCCTGTGAGGAACTTTATTTTCAACTCATGCCAGTATTTATGATATTTTCTTCTAGTAATTCTAGTGGCAGCTCCTGGAACTTGACCATTCTCTTACCAGTCTTTGTTGGAGATCCAGATAAGTTGTGTCCCCAGAGAAGTCCATTGCCACTAGTAAGGATAACATTTGGCATAGTTCTGCTCTCACTCTGTTGGGATACAATGGGCTTGGCCCTGTCTTCCTTGTTCCCAGCCTGTGACTCATCCTAGTCAGAGAAAAGGGCTTCTCTAAGCTCCTCTCCAGCCTGTCAAGCCAGGGTCAAGGAAGGCCGATCAGAGGATACTTCCAGACTAATCTGGGCTTCAGGAGTGAAGGGTTCTTCCTTGGTAATGAGCAGAGATTCACAAATCCTCAACAAGGTCCATACTTACCTGCTCCAGGTCCCTGATGCTGCCTCAGACCCTCAGGTTCCATGTCTATACATGCATTTGCCTCTCTGCAGCTCTTCCCACCACATTCCTGAACCTTCCCCCAACTCCCAGCCTCCACATCTGGCCTTGGCACAGACATGACTCAGAGGACTTGCTCTTCTCATCTTTCACTGTTATCCTTCCCTGATTACTCAAGTGGAATACAACAACTCCCCTTGTCTGCCTGGCTCCCTGGGTGGAGAAAGACCCTAAGCCCTACCCCAAGACTGAAGGCAGGCACCCTAGAGCAGGAGGGAAGTGTAGGTATTTTTCCTGGTTCTCCTAGACTTTATCAGAAGCCCTCTAATTCCAGGCCCAGTCTTTGAAGGCAGGAACATAGGGTAGCCCAGTCACTTTTGCCAACACCTCAATCTTCAAATATGAGAAGCATGATCCTCCTGCCGACCATAACTGTGAATACACTGATGGTCTTTGTAACCAGTGGAATGAGAAAGCTGGTTCAAAGAACATGTGAGAGAAATCTGTACATAAATATAACGGGAGGAAAAGGGAGGAGAGGGGAGAGACAGGGAATCCTAGAATATGATGCCAAGTTAGATACACAGCTGGGCGATGTCCGTAAGACAATAAAATTGTAAACTTTCCTAATTTCTCTCCAAACAAAAATTATTTACTTCTTCCAACAAATATCATTTACATCTTAACAGTTTTTTGCCAATTAGCCCAAACCTTACAGCACAGATACTCCCATTCAGTAGAAAGAGGTGTTACTTTCCCCTAGAGGACCAGATATTCTTGGGCATTTATATAGACATCCACTCTATAACAGCGTTGCCTAATATAATACACTACAGGCCATATGTAAGACATTCTACTTGTTGCATTTTTTAGAAAAGAAGAAATATATAAAATTGTGTTTGGGTATTTTCTTTAATCCAATTTATCTAAACTATTATTGTTTCAACATGAATCAAATAAAAAAGTTGCTGAGTTATTTTGTTGGCTTTTTTTTTTTTTAAGAGAAAGAGACAGAGTTCCCACGTAGCTCAGGCTAACTTTAAACTCACTATGTAGCTGAGGCTGGCCTTAAACTCCTGATTTTCTGCTTCTGCCTCCTGAGCGCTGGGTTTACAGGTGTGCACCACTATATCCAGCTAACTCAGGAGTTATTTTATAATCTTTTTCCAAAGTGTTTGAAATAAATGTGTGTTTCAGATTTGCAGCACACTCAGATTGGGACTGAACACATTTCAAGGGTTCAGTGCCTTGAAAGACTGGTAGTCACAGGTCTGGAGAACTTAGGAGAATGTCAGTGCCCCACCATAACTGTTGGGGTTCAGCAGGTATGGGGCAGGGCCTGTGTTTCTGCATTCCTAGCAAGTTCCCACCTGATGCTGCTGCTGGTCTGGATGCTTTTTGAAAAACAGTTTCAAGGTGACTTTGAAAAGACAAAGGGCATTTTGGCATTCTTTTCAAGTTACAGATAATTATGCTCACACCCCTCCAGTTGATGAAGTGTACAGCAGTAGCAATGGGCTCTCTGGAAGGTGTTTGGGTTGGTCTGGCCTCTGACTCCAAACAGCTTGTGGGCCACCATTTGGTAGTGGGTGATTGCAGTAGCTCCTCTGATAGTCTTACCTGCGTACCGTCTCTGAGCTAGAATCTCAGAAGGAAGGGAAAGGGACTGACAGTCAACATTCCACATTGGGTCCAGCCTTTGTGCTAGCTGCACTTTACTTGTTATTCTACAGGTAATGCCAGCCAGGCTCAAAACCTGATGTTCCAGGACCAGCCCATCTGGATACAGCTACTGGCAAGGTCCTAGAGCTTTGAAGCCTAGAGAGTGACCAGATAGGGCATGGGAATTGGTATAAACCAAAACACAAATAGACTATAATTAGAAAAAGAAAATATGGGAGACCTGCTGAGCAGAGGCTGTGGAAGGGCCAGGAGGGGTCAGGACCCTACCGAAGACAGCAGTCTAATCTTGCTGCTGGAAGGGTTAGAAGGAACAGATGCCTCAGAAGCAGGACTGGAAGCTAAGCAGCCATCAGATGCTGCTCCCTGGTCACGGATGTGGAAGGACTTGCCCCTGTCACATAGTGAGCCCACCTGTTCCAGAGCCCACATCTCATCCATATCCCAGAAACCCTTCCTCTTGGTTCTGCAGGATTGGAATGGAGTGCAGCAGACAGGTATTGAGAAAAGGGGTATGCCTGGTGGCTTTGGGGCATACCCATGTCGTTCATATCACCAGTGATAGCTAAGAGTTAACATTAATCCCCTCAAGACCAGGACTGTGTCCCACCCTGAATGTTTCCCTCTAGCCCCTGATAAAACATGCCAAAATTCAGTGAACCAGTCAGCACTCTGTGTGCTTAGGGAGTAGATGCTCTATTCATATGACTGTGGGACTTGTATGAAGTGACTACTAGGGCTCTATACCATGAGATATCTTAAAGAGTATGAGAACACTGAATAGAGGAGCCTTAAGAGACCCGAGGAGCTATAGTATATGTCAGGACCTGCCACCAACTTAGTTCTGCCTTCCATGATTGTAAAGCATTCCCCAAGATGCTCCAGAGCCTCACAGGGTCCAAAGGGTCCAAGGCAGTCACTATAGAACTTGAGTTTACAATGGCTAGAGTATTGTCCATAGTTACTGGACTTACGGTGTCAGGGCCCTACCTTTACCACTAACTATCAGAAAGTTTGGAAGAGTAAGTCCCTATGTATTTGTATATAAAGTAGCCTCAATCACAGCATATATTGTGATTCTTCCCCCCAATTGTTATATGTAAAAAAGATGATCACTACCCATCTGTATGGTATATGTGTATATGGCAGGTATGTGCTCTGTGTTTGTAAACTTCCTATAATGGATCTAGAATTTATGGAAGAGGGATCTGCTGCCATGGGATGACTGGGCAGTATTCTCAATGACTATATTTGGAGAAATTATATACAGCACAAGTTGGCATATTAATGTATACACTCTGTGTTCCATATCTTTGTGTGCATATACTCTGTAGCATGGACATGTAATGCACATGATGGATATAGACTTGTGTGTGCCTGCACCATTAGTAATCTGTGTATAATGAGTATATGCCATATGTGGAATATATAATTGTACAATGGCTATATCTTGTAAGTAATAGTAAATATTGCAGATGCATCATCTATAATTGATATACTGTTTATGCTGAGTACATATACTGTATGTGATGGGCACAGCCTGACAGATATACATGATAATAAGTTTGTATTGGGTATTGGGCACACGTAAGCATATGCTACATGTGGAGTATACATTGTACGTATGGTGGGTCACAGTGTAATGAGTATAATTCATGTGTAGTAGGTACATGCACACATATCCATATATACTATAGAATATATAACTGGCATAATCTGTGATGAATACACACTGTATAGGTGTGATGATATACTTTATGGACAGATAAGCACTGTATATACTGTGTGCATATGGGGATACCCTGTGTAGTAAGATAGTCTTTGCGGTCCATTTGTTTGGTCCATTCTGTGTGTACACAACTCGCGATGGGGATGTGAAATGTGCACCTCTGTGAAAGCAAATGAAGGGAGTCAGTGCTGGGAGTAGGCCTGGCAGGGAGCCACAGTCTTTATCTGTCTCTGAAACTCTAAGACCCTTGAGCCTCCCAACCTCACTGTTTCAGGTTCTTCCTCAAGTTCTTCCTCAAATGCAACCAGAACTGCCTGAAGAATGCAGGGAATCCCCGAGACATGCGCCGCTTCCAGGTAGGTTTGGGAAGCGCCTCCCCAGACCATGACCACCCACCCTTTACTGATAGGTGAAGGGAAAACTGTGACCCTGCCAGGGCAGGTTTCTCCCCAGCTCTGGGCCTCAGGGCCTGGTGCCTGTTGGGGGTGGGGAAGCTCCATCTCAACTTATGCTGGCTGCCAAGGGAGGCTTCATTAGAGTCCCACTTAAGAAGATGCTAATTGTGACATTTTTACATGATTAACGACCCAGGTAATTTGCATAGTGTGAAGCCGAGAACAGCTGCCCTTAGCACATCCCCAACCTGCATACTCCTCCCAGTGCAGGGGTAGTGGGAGAAGCCAGCCCCAATCTGCTGCCCAGAGAAGGGTGGGGGCTCCTTGTTAATGGGTTCTCTAGCTGATGCTGTGTCTCAGTATACTTGGTTGGGTGAATCTTAAAGCTAGGTGGATACTTGAATAGTGTTCCTGTATGCAACAATGGAGGGCACTCTTTGTTTAAGGAGCCAGAACTTTTCAGGGCTTTTGATTTTTTTTTTTTTAGCTCCTGAGGGGGTCAGTTCATCTAGGGGTACCACCTGATCCAACTGGCCCCAACTCGACCAGCACAGTTGCCTTTTGAACCACCAACCTCAAGTTGCTAGTTCTATATAACAACCCCCACTCCATGGTCCCAAGGGCCCCATCCAGACTAGTCTTGGCTGTCCCTACAGGTAGTGGTATCCACGACAGTGAGTGTCGATGGACATGTGCTGGCCGTGTCCGACAACATGTTTGTGCACAACAACTCCAAGCATGGCCGGAGGGCCCGCCGCCTGGACCCTTCTGAAGGTCAGGACTCCCTGCCCAGCCCTGGCTAGCCTCAATCCCCACCATGGTGAAGTTCCCTGACCTAGGTCCTCTCCTACCCTCAGCTGCCACCCCCTGCATCAAGGCCATCAGCCCTGGGGAGGGCTGGACCACGGGAGGCGCCACCGTCATTATCATCGGCGACAACTTCTTCGACGGGTTGCAGGTCCTGTTTGGCAACGTGCTTGTGTGGAGTGAGGTGGGCCACCCCTGCCAGTCTCCCTTCATGCCTCAGGACTGGGCCCTCCCTCTGGGACCTGCAGGCCTCCCCTCTCCTCTCACAGCTCATCACCCCTCATGCCATCCGGGTGCAGACACCACCGCGACACATCCCTGGGGTGGTGGAAGTGACCCTCTCCTACAAATCCAAGCAGTTTTGCAAAGGAGCCCCTGGCCGCTTTGTCTACACAGGTAAGGAATCAGGCAGCTGAAGCCAGCCTGAGATTCACAGCGATAGTCCTTAAGAGCTCAAGGAACTCAAACACTGTTGCCAGTATTGACAAAAGTTTACAGGTGGCCCCATTCCCTGGGTGGCTATTATTCCCTCACCACCACCCCACCCCTACACTAGGTGATCGATCACTCAAGGTCTTTTCTCTGACCTGTGTTTCTCTCCCTGGGTCTTCTGGCTCCTTGCCAGAAGGAGGGGAGGAACCTCCTCTGCCTTGGGTCTTCTCACCAGGGGGACCCCCTAGCCCAGCCCACATCCTCCAGAGTTCAGAACCTCCCCAAGAGTATGTTTTTTTAATCTCAAAGATGTTCCCAAATGGGCTCACTCTCCAAATCTTTCCTGGACCTCTTGAGTCTCCCAGACCTCACTACATTCACACACCCTTAAGGTGAGAGCTCACAAATACACATCACCCTGATGAGCAGTTAGGACAAGGTTTGTGGAAATTCCTAGAATGCGTGGTTCAAAGTGACCACTAGGTAGAATCTTCATTCACCTCCATCATCACATCTGGGCCCAACTCAAGCCACTACTTTCTCCCTCCTTTGAGACCTTGGAGGAGGGGGCAAAGGATACTCCTGGGTAGCTCCTTCAGGTTTAGCTGCCAGCCAAATTGGGGTGGGTGGGTGGAGTTACAGAGTGGAGGGCTAGACAGCAGAAACCCACAGGGGTGCCTGTATGTGCTGAATTAGGCCAAGTTAAAACTAGAGGGCTGAATAGGGAGGCAGACAGCTGGAAGAAGGAAAGTGCAAAGCCTAAGAAGTAAGTGCTTTATGCCGGTGTGGAAAACTAAAGGAAATTAACTAAGTCCGGCACTGGAAATGAAGAGTGTAGTTTGAGACTGGTGGGTTAGGACAGTGTGCTGAGCTACTGCAAGGTGGAATAAGGGGCTCAAGGAGGGAAGGAGTAGGGAATTGGTTAAGTCTGGTGCATTCTCCAGAGAGCCCAAGGTATTGACCAGTCTGTCATCTCATTTTGGGTGCATGCAAAGCTTTGATGGCTACATACCACTTGATCCATGATAAATGGAGATTGCTAGGTTGTTTTATTTTTAATGACAAAGTGTTATGACCAAATACAAACAGAAAACTCCCTTGGGTCCTGCCCCTAGAAATATATATATATATCGTTTCCTTTTTTCCTTCCTAACTGCATATGTGTTGATGCCAAGCTTGGCACAGAGCCTGGCTCCATAATATTTGTTGAATGAATTCTAACAAACAAACAAAGGAACCACAGAAACTCTCCTGAAGTTCACTGATACGTGGGCCTGGGGTTTTCCCGGGACACTAGGGCTGGGCTTGCTGGAAGTGTCCAGCAGCAAGGTTCCTGAACTGTTGTGCCCTACGTCCTGATGTGGGAGGGGTATCCACCAAATATCGCCATTCTCCCCAGCCCTGAATGAGCCTACCATTGACTACGGATTCCAGCGGCTACAAAAAGTCATTCCAAGACACCCAGGAGACCCTGAGAGGCTGCCCAAGGTACTCAGAGGGGGGACCTGAGAGAGGGGGGACCTGAGTGAGGGTGTCCCGGGGGCAAAGGGGCGAGGAACCCCCACCCTGGCCCCTTAGCACTCCCAGGGGCTGTTCCACCATCCTACTGTCTCCTCCCCTGCCCCCAGGAAGTGCTGCTGAAGCGGGCGGCCGACTTGGCTGAGGCCCTGTATGGAGTGCCCAGCAGTAACCAGGTATGGCGCCTCCGCCCACCTCCCAGCGCCACGGGCCAGGCGCTCCCTTCCTGCCCCTGCCGCTGCCCTGCTCTTGTCTTCGCAGGAGCTCCTCCTGAAGCGAGCGGCGGACGTGGCCGAAGCCCTGTACAGCGCCCCACGTGCGCCCGCGCCACTCGGACCCATGGCTCCCAGCCACCCGCACCCGGCTGTCGTGGGCATCAACGCCTTCAGCAGCCCGCTCGCTATCACGGTCGGGGACGCCACACCGGAGCCGGGTGCGTGCACCGCCCGGCCCGGAGTTGCGGTGCTCAGGACAGCCCCCATCCCCGGCTCCTAACCAGCACTCTCTCGCAGGGTATGCGCGCAGCTGCGGCAGCGCGTCCCCACGCGGCTTCGCGCCCAGCCCCGGGTCTCAGCAGAGCAGCTATGGCAGTGGCCTCGGAGCTGGCCTGGGCAGCTACAGCGCACAGGGGGTGGCCGGCCTTGGCGTGCCGGGCTCCCCCAGCTTCCTCAATGGCTCCACCGCCACCTCGCCTTTCGCTAGTGAGTGTTCCCCGCCCACAGGAAGGGAGGGCCTGGGCCTGGGAATGCAGAATGGATTCGGCCCTGCCTTCGACCCATCCTGGGATGTGGGTTTCCAGTTCCTCCTTTAGGCCAGTGGTGAACTTTGGCCTTGCTCTTGGAATCAGTCCTTCATGTGGCTACTCCCTGCCTTTGGACCTCAGCCTCAGTCCTGGGGGGTTCCCGAGATCCTGGGGCTAGATTTCATGCCCCTTAAGCCCTCTTCGCTGACCCGAGTTGTACACATCACTTCTAGCCCTCTAGTTGTGAAGCTGTCTTTCATTGGGGGGCCCTGGGCTGAAACCTGGTGGACAGTAACCTTTCCGTCTCACACCGGGACTTCGAGAGGAGGCTGGCGGCCCCTGCTGGAAGTCTAAGGAAACTCAAAAGACGCGGGCTTCCAACAGCCCCCAGGCCAGGGGCCGGGTGGGAGGTGGCAGGATGTGTGACTCTAGTGGTGTGATCAGGCAGAGCAAGCGAATTTTGAGTGATCAGAGCTGGATTTAAAGCTTGAGTGTCCCAGTCAGGAGCTGTCTGAAATTCACATTACCTCTATGAACTTAAAGGGTCTTCTCAGTAAAATAGGATCAGTACCACCTCCTGTCAGGTGGTTCTCTGTTCAGAATATGCACTGTGCCTAAAAGGTCAGAAAGAATGTATGATTTCTTAGGCCCAGCCCAGACTGTAGGTGCTAACCAACTTCCCTCTAGCATCTTGGGGCAGGGCAGCTCTCAGCTAGAAGGATAGGCAGTGTCTGGATGTCTTGGGTGAGTGACATCCAGAACTGCTTTTGTGCTTTATGGATTTGTACTGCCTTGTTCTGTTCACTGTCAATGGCTACTCAGCAGACATTTATAATGCACCAATTGAGATAAAGCACTGGGCTTGGGGGAATCTGGCCACCCTTTCTCACCAGCAAGAAGCTTCCCTACCAATCACAATAGAAGTTTTCCCTCCAGACCAGGACACTGCTGAATTTGAGAAATAACAACTGCCCAGGAGGAGCTTGTTGTGGCTTTGCCTGCAGTTCCCTAAGCTCTGGCTTTTCCCTGTTTGCTGTTGATGAAAACAACTGTCTACCCACCTGCCTGGATTTCCTTATCAAAGATACTGTTCTTTCTGGCTATGGATCTGGCCTGGCACAACTTATTGAGCCCCCACAAACCAGAAGCCACCCAGGTCATAACCCTCTTGTGGCCCCTCCCAAGCCTATCTCTCCTGATCCTTTGCTTAGACCAGGTTCTTCTGTTCTGCATTCCTTCCATTCTAGGACAACAGCCTCTTTCTGAGTTTCCCTTGGACTTAAATCTTTCTCCCCAAAGCCCTCACCCCTTTCCAGATATACACACTGCTATCAGTAGGAACATTTGCCCCAGTGTACAGTGCCCAGGGCCACCTCACTTAGCAAGGTAAAAAAATTCCAGAGCTGCTTATGGTTTGCACCCAGCATCAACAGAGATTCTGAATTCTACCCAGCGCTATTACTGTCTCAGAATATTGTCTTGGGCAATGCTTACCCAGGTCCACATCCATTCTTCTGAGTGTAGACTGCTTTGTGACACAATTGCAAAGGGTGTCATGCTTATTAGTTTGCCAAGACATCCCTAAAATGTCATCAGAATTATCCTAGCCAGAGGATCTGAAGATGACCATTTGGGTCTCTACTTGGTCTTATCAGCAATTCTAGAATGACCCACAACTCTCAGTACTATCCAAGATACATAATGTGGCTATAAGCTCTCTGGGCCTTGGGAAATACAGTATATTTTCTAGTATTCTTGTTAAGTACTTCATAATTTCCCAAGCCTTACCAGCTAGGTTTCAAGGAGGTGGTGACCACTGGGGGAGGACATTTGAAATAGGGCAGCTGTTGAAGCCAGCCTTGTATCAAAAGCTAGTGGGGTGGGTGCTCTGATGTCAGAGCAGGCTTCTGTCCATTATCTGCTTCTTGGACAATGCTAAAACTCCTCCCTTACTGATCTATAGAAGAGAGAAGCAGGGAATTGGGTTCAAATAAGACAAAAGTAAGATGCAGAGGTGCCCTGAACTGGAACCCCCAGCAGATAACACTATTGAAAGAAGGAATGCATAAAACTTTTGTATAGGAAGCTCCCTCACTGTTTTCATGAAGGTAGGTCACAGCCTTAAATGGTTATAAAATTGAAGAGCAGAAGGCTTTGAAGATGTCGAACTCTCTTTTTTCTTTAAGATTGACTCACTGGGAGAAAGAGATAGAGGGCACGTCCAGGGTCCAGACTGACGCTAACAGGACCCTGCATTAAGGTAGAAAGAAACAGTACCAAGAGAAGGAGAGTGGAGGCACAAAGCATAGAGCACATTGTAAAAGAATGCACGCTTATAACGGAAGTTAGGGTGCTTGTGCGAACTGTGATTCTTGGCAGAGAAGCCTTACAACAGGACACTGTATGTACACCCAAACTTCATTCCTGTTGACTTACCCCAACTCCACTGTGACCCCTGAACTTTGTTGAGCCTTGGCAATCCAGACCCATAAACATTTCAAAATCCCAGTGATTTTTAGCAGGAATCCCAACTTCACACTCATCTCTCATTTGGGAGGGGCACATCCACTGTTTGGTTCTTTCGTTTTCACTGGGTCTGATTCTGTTATCCCCAGCCCTGAGAAATAGTGTCCAGAGCTCCAAAAAAGGCAAGGGCTGGCCCAGAACCCCAGAAGCTCCCAGTTCACCTCTAGATGTTGCCTTGCACTGGTCTTCCCAGGACTCTCACAGCCCCTTGGGAGGTCTGAGCCTGCAGCCTGGTCAGCAGCACACACGGGCACCTATGTGGCACCCCAACCCTGCTGCTCACTCTGGTGCTGTCTCCCTGTTGTGTCTCCCACTGCCTTCCGTGCTGCATGTGCCCCATCCTTGCCCCGCCCCGGAGTCATGCCCTCTAGCCCGCCGCTGGCTGCCTCTTCCATGTCCCTCCCGGCCGCAGCCCCTACCACCAGCGTCTTCTCCTTCTCGCCTGTCAACATGATCTCCGCTGTCAAACAGAGGAGCGCCTTCGCGCCTGTGCTCCGCCCACCCAGCTCCCCATCCCAGGCCTGCCCCAGAGCACACGGAGAGGGGCTTCCAGGTGAGCGATCAAGGCTGTCTCACAACGGCCTGAGGGAAGGGCTTTTTTCTAGCCACTGACTCAAGGAGCCCCCTCCATCTAAATCCCACCAATGCCTCATGCTGTTGACCAGTTCTCTTCGGAGGGTGCTCCGCAAGAGACTGCAGGGGTCCAGGGAGGCCTGTTTGGAGTCACTGGGTCTTACAGTTAGAAGTGCCCTGGACTCTGTCTGGACACTGAACAGGCCACTTGGCAAAGAAGATTGAATTCCTAGTTGGAAAAGATCCCAATAGTCCAGTCCCATCTAATAGAGCCCAGAGCAAATACCCAACTCTGAGTTGGAGAAACCCAGTGGATTTCATACCTTTCCCCCATGTCTACCAGAGGCGCATACCACTGCGAGATTAGATCATTTAATGAACAAGAGAGCACTGCCTTTAGATAAGGCCTAGTTTTCCCTTTCCTTCTGTACAGATTAGGAATTGAGAAGTCAGCCTTCATAGGTTTTGGTAATGAAACAACTGTTCTCTCATTTTACGCATGTGCAGCAGAATACTTTTAGCTCACAGGACTTTCCCCACCCAAGTGGTCATTGGAAATTCAATACATAGAGGGAGAGGTTGGCTGTGGGAAAGGAGGTAGAAGCAATAGTATGTGGGGTGGACCCAAGACCCAGTTAGGAGCAGAGCTAGATGAAGTAGTGTTTCTCAAGGGACTTGCAGGTGTTTCTCTGTGAGGCTACGCAGATGTGTCTCTAAGGAGCTCCCGGGACCCAAGCCAGAGTTCAGTACTTAACCTAGTGCCTGGCTTGGCACTTTTCTCACAGTAGGTGCTTAATAACTAGCAGTTAAATTCTCAAGTGAGTGTTGGGTAAGAAGGGCCCTCTTCAAGTGCAGAAGACTCTAGAGGGCTTCAGTAGTTTGCTAGACAACTGAGCTGAAAGAGACTAGGCTAGGACTGGAGTAGAGCATACCCTATGGGATAGTCTCCCAGATAGTAATGGGTGTTCCTTACATAAGAATCAGAGTTTCTAGCTGGGTGCAGTGGCACAAGCCTTTAGTCCCAGCACTCAGGAGGCAAAAGCTGGCAGAGCTCTGTGAGTTTGAGGCCAATCTGGTCTACATAGCAAGTTCCTGGCCAGTTGGGGCTACAAGGAGACCCTGTTTAAAAAATATATCAGTTCAAATTAGGTAAGTGGAGATACTTATTTAGTTTTTAATGGACTGGGGTATACTGTGAATCTTCTAGGAAACAAATTTATTAGAGTAAAACATTTAATTTTCAAAGAGCATCTTGTAATTAGTTCCTATGGGTGTCTGAGGCTGAAGAAGAGACATCCATGTTTCCTAAGTCTGACAGGGTTTTCTGAAGCCAAGATCAAGTCATGGGAGCAAGGCCACTATGCTGGGACCTAGAGTCATCCCTGAACTCAGTACAGTGACAGTTTAAGTGGTCCCCGTAACCAGAAAGGATAAAAACTATGAACAGTGCCCTGAGAGGCTTCTGTGCCCTAGAGTCTCTGTATAAGAGAGTTTGGGGACCTCGGAAGGAGTGTGTAGCAAGCAGGGAGCCTGGGAAGACAAGATGACAAATATGCATAACAACCAGAGGCTCCACCTGATCATAGGAAAACTGACTGTAGTTAGAGGTTATCCAGCAAGTCATTGTGGTCCACTGCCCTGCTCTGCGGATAGAATGGGATCCTTTCCTCCGGAGGCTGCTCTTTGGACAATCCAGGCAGTCCTTAGACGGTGATTCAGCTAATTACAAACTTTTATGCAGGGTAAGAGGGCAAGGGGGCTGGTTGGTGAAACATCCACAGGGAAAACTGTTATCAGAAAAGGCCTTGCCCAAGCAGGGTTTGAAGAATAAATTAATTTTCTAGTGGGGCCAAATCAGTGAGCTCTGGGTTTCATTGAGTGACCTTGCCTCAATGAATAAGGAAGAAGAGCAGTTCAGGATAATTCCCAATATCAACCGCACACATTTGTCACACACACACATACACACACACACACGGAAAACCAAACCAAAGAAGAATATAGGAGAAGTCAGTGAAAAAGAGAATGCTGAAATAGGGCTGCTGTGTGTAAACTGGTTCTGCAGGGCAGTAAACTCTAACCAGCCTGTGGAGGGCTTTCCTCCCTCCCTTTTTCCCTCCCTCCCTTCCCTTCTTGGGTTGCTGGCTTTTGAGACAAGATCTCTCTGTAGCCCAGGGTGGCCTCAAACTCATGATCCTCCTGCCTCAGCTTCCTAAATACTAAGATTATATCAGTGTTTCACCTACCACTGATACTTTTTCTATCAATTAGAAGTCTCCTGCAAGATAACATCAACTTAACAAAGAGTAAAGTGACTTTTAAGGTGGAATTATTAGATACTACTCCAAGGTGACTTTAAAAGACTACACAGTCCTAGATGGGCATAGTGGCTATAGTGCCTGTGACTCTCAGAACTTGGGACTGAGATAGGAGGCTCTTTAGTAAAAAAAACCAGCATAGCAAGACCCTGTCATCCCCCGCCCCCTGCAAAAAAAGATACACTCCTTTTTTGCCGTATTTCCAACTTTTGGGTAATTTGTCTTAAGCCATCTGTATGTGCAGCTTAAAATGTGAGAGACAGGGAAGACAAAGGAGTTCTGCCAGCAAAGGGAAGGGGCTAGGCAGGGTGGAGAGTGGTGGGGTATCACACCTGCTGTACACACGTCAGCGCTCCTGGAAGCCGGACTCTTTCCTCAGTGTTCTGGTCCTGGTCCACCTGCTTCCTCACCTTGGCACAGGCCTTCTGAAAGTAGAGAAGTCTGAGGTGAGGACATGGCTTGATGAGCAGTTGTTTTCTGTGTAGGCACTAGCACCTGAGTTTAGACTCCTAGCTTCCACACTAAAGTTGAGTGTGGTGATGTGGTGTAGTGCCTGTAAATCTCAGAACTCAGGGGACTGAGATAGGAGGCTCTTTAGTAAAAAGCCACCTGTCACCTTAACCTTAGGGTAGACACAGGCTCACTGGCCAGTCAGTTTTACTGTCTCAAAAAATAAGGTATAAGACTGAATATGGTGGCACACACTAATGCCAGCACTCGGGAGGCAGAGGCAGATGGATATCTGTGAAGTGGAGGCCAGCCTAGTCTACATATCGAGCTCCAGGCAAACAGCCTACAGGAAGACCTTGTCTCGGGAGAAAAAAAGTGGAGAGCAATACCTCTGGACTTCACACATGTGATCACACCTGCACACCACACTACACTCACACGAAGGTAGACCTAGGAAGAGGAGCCCAGAGTTAGGGAAGTGAGATCAAGGGTCTAGGCTGCATATCTAAAGGTCTGAAGGTAACCCTTACATTTTCCTGTAGTGCTGACCCCAAACCAGTGCTGGGGTGATTGGCAGCCTAGAGAAGGATGAGCAGGTAAGGGCACCAGGCAACACAAGACTTATTTCCCTCTTTGCTGACTACAGACCAGCCTTTTGAAGATACTGACAAGTTCCACTCTGCAGCCCGGGGACTCCAGAGTCTGGCATATTCCTAATTATGGTAGGTGTCCATCTGAGTCTTGCTGTCTCCTGGCCTTGAAATAAATTCTCTCTCCAAAAGGCAAGGTTGGGGAGTTGGGGTCCAAGTCTTCTTTCCCCATGCCCATCTAGACAACTGTCCAAGGTAAACAGCCACCCAAGTGGCACAAATTAAATAGAAATGGCTTTCTATCTCCTTATAGCCAGCCTTCTTCCAGGACTTTCTTCTCTCCCCACCAGGTCTGCAAGTGTTCCACCAATGAGTCTGGACTGGAGGTCTCTGGATTCATGCTCATGGCCCAGATGACAGCACAAGCAGATACAGGGTCAGGACTCTGGAAAGACCTCAATCCCTGGGCTAGACAGGGAGAGGCCTTCACCTTTGTCTCAAGGCCCCTTCATACCCAGACACCTCTCTTCTCCCTTTCTTGGGGTACATTAGAAGCCCCAGTGCTGTGCTAATGCTCTTGGCAGGAGAACATCACAGGGAGGTGTTGGGATTTCAGGCCTCATTCACTGGGTCAGTTCCTCTGCAAGAGATGGATTTTGTGCAGATCAGGGATGCTGGTGAGAGGATCAAGAAATGGGGACTGTGGGAAAGAGGACAGCTCAGGGAGTGGTGACCTAAAGAAGTCCTGTTTGCATCTGACCCATCTCGCCTGACCTAGCAGCCTATCTTCTCCCCAGTGAACAAGGTGGTGCCCAGCAGTCTCAAGAAGCCCTTCCAGGCTCCCATGGAGCTGCCCACAAGCTACTGGACCCCATGGCTGCCCCAATTTTCTTTGAGAGTTGCACATTCATGCTGACCACATCATGCCTCCATGTGGGAGTTTTAGGCTTGGAAGATATGAAGAGGAGGGACCAGGCCTCTTGAATTTTGAATCTTAATCCAATGGATGTTTCATGAACTCTGTCCCTCTCTGTGCATCTCTGTGTGTCTCTGTCTCTGTCTCTCTCTGTCTCTCTCTCTGTCTCTCTCTCTCTCTCTCTCTCTCTCTCTCTCTCTCTCTCACTCTCACACACACACACACAGACTTGTTGCTGCCATGGAACAGCCTGGCTACCCCTCAGATGGCCTCATACTCTGCTAAGCTTGGACAAAATGAAACAATAAACCAGATGCAGGTGGCCACCTGGCCTCTCTCTTGCCTGCTTCTTTGGTCTGCTTTTCTCAGTGGTCCTGTAGCAGTCATGGTACCACTATAAACCATGCCCCTTGGACACCCTTCTACCGTGGGCTTGTTTTTTTTGTTT